AGATCAAAGGCAATAAAGAACACTAAACATGATCATATATGGAAATTCCTAACTAGATAAAAAACCTCCGGGCAAATTTGCCACTAAAAGCCACTAGAAAAGTTAATTTACAATTAGTTCAGACACTGTTAAACATTAACTAACTTTGATCACCTAACTTGTAAATCATCAAGCAAGTCTTTTGGTTGTGCATGCCCACACTTCTCAGAACTCAGAGCTACACGTGGATCAATAAGAACAAACCTCGTTTTCGAGCGTTGGAACTTCAAGCGCATCTTCCCAAAACTCTAGAACTTTGAAAGCTAATTGACAAAGATATGAATTTGTTTTGGTGTTTGATTTTTCTGTGTTTTGATTTGTAGACTGATGCAAGAGATATTTGAATATGTATTTGGCTATTGAAGAACAAATTCTTGACTTACAACAAATCTCTACTAATGAAAGGTTGAAACAATATAATCAATGGAATGTGTTTATGATCTTCAATAACGAGATCTCTAAGACAAAATAATGTTTCAACACACTTTTGGATGTTCATGGGGATGTATATTTATAATGGATGTGTTTGGGATGAAAAAGGAACTCAAAATCAACTTTAAAATCAAATTTTACTGTTCTTCGAATTGAGTTGTCGCTTGAGCGCCTATCGGGGACGGCCAGTAAACATTCTCTGAACAGTTGTTAGTGTTTTCATTATAATTTTCACTCTCATTGTCTAATTGAGGTGATTCAAAGTGCATTGAAAAACTGACTTAAAGGACTACAATCATTTTTGAAATAACGTTTTACAAATTCGAATGTTTTCTATGTGAAAAATGTGTCACAATTTGTGATCGAGAATTTGGAACAAGATTTGTGCAACACTTTGTCACTCATTTGACTTCTAATTGCATTTCATTGATCATATGTGATCCACTTGGACATCTTTGACTACTCCAAATACTATACTAATCAACCCTTCAACTATTTTTACTTTAATTACAATTCCATTATTCTTGTTTTGACTTTGAATACAATTTAATTAACTCCGAATATAATTCAACTAAAACATGACATTGACTAAAAAAAATTGTCATTATAAATTTAGAAATTGTCAATTATATAATTTGACATAACAATCTCTCCATTTGACATTCTCTTATAAAATTATTTATTTTAAAATTAAAGTCAAAACAAAAATCTACCCAACAACATAATGTTCAAAATTTACTTTAATATCTTGTTAACATGTTTCCTGAAACATATGAAAACAACAATACCACGCGAAAAGTAAAAACAAATTAATAAGTGATAAATGGAACTGGCAACTCAAAGCATGATTGCGATATTAGACAAAACACCAAATCAAACGTAATATCAATATGGAAAAAAATACTAGATCAAACATTCATATTACTCAACTTCTCCCACTAACTCATATCCAATCATCAAATCAAACAAAACTGTTCAAAAATTTCTTCAAA